AAGGCTGTTCATGAACTCAAACATTTTGCGTGCAGTCAACGCGTAACCGCCTTGAATCTCTATCCCCTCCACTGCAGGCGGTACAGAGATGACCTCATAAAAGCATTTCAGTTGTTAAGAGGACTTGATCTGGATGTCGACTGGGAAACTCTTTTTGAAATGGCAGCAAAAACTAATCTCGAATGATACAATTACCGGCTTAGAAAGAAACTGTCACACAAATCAACGCTCCTCCTTTTTGTCGCAGAGATTTATTCACCAATGGAATTCTTTGGCAACGTCTGTTGTTTATTCACCTACCGGGATTGTGTTCAATCGACATCTTGATGATCACCTGTTAAAAGGCAACCCGAACTCCCCAAGCCCAATCTTGCGGATTACTGTAATGGTTATCAGTGCGCAACTTACACGATTTCAACAGATCCTTTTGTTTACATAAACCTTGACCCTGGTGAAAATTTTCAGTGCGAATGCGATGGAAGATTTTTTCTTTGTTATCTCGAAAATACCACACTTTTTTCACATTTATGTTCTACCATCACCTTTATGCATTCAACACAAGTAAGCCACATATAAAATTTTTTGCAACCTAACTACTTTTCATGCACACCTGAACCGTAAAGATGGAGCTTTAAGAGCTTTTGTCATTTACACCAAATACATTGACGCATACTGACAGATGAGCTGCTCAATCATGAATTTACTAAAATCAGGGGTTTCCTCGAAGGCGATTTGATTGTCACAGCCCGGAGGCTTCAATCGGACGAAATCATAGTCGCTACGACGCGTCGTCGTTATTCATTTACATCCCACCGAATTTGACGCATGGAGTCTTTCGAAAGAATGTGGAGGAGATACACGATGAAACCCTCAGCCGAAGAAAAATAGGCCTAATGCATATGCTGATGTCCGACCACTAAAATTGGATGAGATATCGTCGACCAGAAGACTCTTTCCAGGGGCCCACAGGACGGATTTGAACCGTCTTCTCGGAGTTCACAATGAACACGAGAATGGCGTCCTGCCCAGCCTTAGTTCACGTCTTAATACAGGGTCTATTTGAATGGTGAAGTCAGTTTTAATTAACACTTACTGTGGAACTGTAGAGGACTAGATCTCCTATCTAGGGCACCAATGGTGTCTTTAAACACCGCGTCCATTTGCGCTGCTCCTACTCAAGATCTGATAGTTCGGACCCTAAAAGTGTTTTCCGAAGCTTCGCTAACTTTCCAAAATCCTGATATTTTAGTTCAGAATTAACATCTCGTTTGATGTGGGCTGTCTTCAGGCAGGGGAAAAGGAAGTCAACAGGTATCCGGTCTAGGGATTCAAGCCGATGATATCACAACCCGAAATTACGGGCTCGACGTGAGGCTGAAACACTCGTCATCCATGGATTCGGAGATGCACACAAACCGAGGTCAATAATTCGGGACCGAACGATCAGGTGGACCGGAGATTGCTGCAAGGACAGGGAATGAACCGGCTAGTTCGCCGGATCTTCTGTAGCTGCGGGAAATTTATGGTATAGAAGTACAGAAAACGTTACTTTTAGAGCAATGCCTGCACACGGACTAACAGTGAAGAGGAATGACGAAAACGCTCCGGTGACGGTTTTCTCAGAGGGTATCAACTAATTGTCAAAGCTTGACCAGACTGCAATCCTCGACAGAACTGATGTGCTGTGAACAGATCGAGTCATGTCCGTTCTACTTCGCATGTGGTTCATCCAACTGGACGGTAAAGACAATTCTGTTTCAGAAAGCGTTTTCTACTGCTTAGCTAGTGACGGCAGCAATGGTAGGGGGCCCCAGGCTCAGTGGTTAGGACATTTGACTCCTAGCCAATAGGCTGCTGGGTCGAGCCCCAGGGGTTGCACACCTCGGGGTTGGGTATGGCTGACTGACGACGGCCAACGCGTCAGAAACGGGCATTTCAGTTTCCCTTGTCTTTTTTCTGTAATATTAGAAGACAACGACATGTTATGTGCTTCCTACTGAGCATTTGGATTTCGTTGAATGCGTGGCGGGAATCTTGCCCCCTGATGTGACTTCGAAAATGCCAGAACTCCGCTGTCAGAATTCGAATAAGATGTCGGCGGATCGTCGGACGCACAAAATGTCGCTCTAATATGATTACTATGCGCATACGGCCGCCGCATGCATGAAAATTGGACTTAGTCTACGAAAAAATTGGTCAGGTAGGAGCGGGCACAGCCTAGGACATCCGAGGTAAGATTCAACGATTATGTGGGCACCCCCTGTTGTATTTATAGTAGTGCGACATTGAATACGAGCAAGCAGAGCGAACGAGCGAATGAGGGTCAAAAGAGATGTTTCGTAATCGTTGGATGGAGGAATACCTGACAGGGAGTGTGGAGCATGACGCACTATCATGGAACAGCGCCCATTTGGTACTGAAGACTGGAAAGGTTCCCTCGTATGCTTTCGAAGTGCGCATCGAGTCCGTTGCTCACAAAATGTGAGAGTATTTATTCTTGGCAGCGAAGTTTACGGTGATGACATGGACATATGCGCAATATGGATACCTGTGCTCTTGAGTACTTACGCAATAGCCCCTGGGAGCTTCATATATATAATGTTGAGTGGATAATTTCGGACCACGAATAAGGAGATGGGACAGTTTATATGGTGTTTTCCGACTTGCGTATCATATTCTAACTAGAAATCATCACCAGAGATCGTCTAATTAGGGGCTGGATTGGGAGTCCGAAACGCTAGTCAAAAACCACCCGTTACCGCGATTGCATTGCGCGCTTCTCAAGTGTCTCTCCAAAGTCGTCTTTTCGCCTGTTGCGTCATAACTGCAGTGCCTTCATCAATATGGAGGCATTTTTCCCGCAAGATCAGGGCTTGGTCATTACTACTACATGGTCCAGCAGTTTTGGGGTTGGTGGCTCATCAACAACGCCGGTAAAAGCGCAAACATATGTTTATTGCTACTTATTTTGTATGAAGTAGACGGGAATATGTGCATGTATATGATCCCGCTGGACAGAGTAAAGGACGGCTGTCTAACCACGGTTCAGTTAAACACTTTTAGCCGTCAGATATCTCAAAACCACCTTGAAAAGCTCGATATTTTTGCATCCCCGCCGCGCTGAGTAGGCGACGCCCACAGCTGTTTAGCCGTCTAAGAATTGTCTGCACGGCTCCCACAGGAAAGCCCACATCAGAAAATCATTTATCATGAGCCTTACAAAGATGATCTGGACGTCCTTGCTACGTCGTTCATTGAGATACGGTGATCACTGGAACAGGCTCAACTTTGCCTCACCGACAGTTTGACCGTCGTGACCGGCGATGTCCACCGCGTGGTCCACAGCTGGATGAGAGCAGAGACGGTGGCATGCGCGTGAAAAACTTTTTAGTGACGGTAGACTTGTGCAGCATCTACCGCACTCCCACCCAAACTCGACCCGGTGTGACGACAGCGTCGAGAAGACCGAAGGCGAAAAAGAGTGCCAGTGGCTAGCGCGATAAGGTCCGCACCTAGGCGTACCACCTTAACGCGTGGTCCACAAAGTACACCGCCCAGGGTTTTACACAAAGAAAGCATCAAAATCTAGCCAAATATCTGACACTGTCAATGGGCCAGAATCGCCGAATCACGTGGCAGCTGTACGGAGAAATGACGCCAACTCTCAGGTCGCGGCCCATTCGACGAGACCCGGCCACACATTCAAGTTCGATGAGGCCGAAATTCTCACAGGAGGGGATAATCGCGTGAGCCGCGAGTTACTTGAGTCATGGTTCACGGGATCTCAGTCTATCAACAAATTCAACGACATCCCCACTCCATAGTCTGTCCTGAGGCATAGACTTGCCAAAGCAATTGACCACTTGAGGAGCGGGCAAGCCGGTGGGCCAGATGGCCGAGCAATCATCACGCCAGCATCCAACACGGATGATGAGATGTCAGCAATTAACAACTTGCATTCCGGCCATCAAGCAATTAGCGCACCAGCGGGCAACAATCCTTGATGAAGGGAGCACGGTTAATTGCTGTAGGTATGCGGTAGCATGGCGACCGCATCCTATAAATACTGCGACTTCCTGTACACTAGCCACCCTTTTCTGTAACTGTCTCTGATGATGGATTCAAGAGAGAATCCGAAACATCAGGCTAATAAAGCCACTGTTCCAGCGATCGCTTCTTCTTCTGATCAACTAGTTCCTGGAACTCGCATCTTCGCTTTTATCGGCAACTGTCAATGGGATCGCAATTATCGACCTTCCATCGAAAGATTAGATATCGATTATTTTATTTTAAACGACGGGGACTCCGGCTCAGTAAAATTGCCATGAATTAACTTTAAACTCCCCTTTGTGGACGAAGACGTAAAGGAATTGCCGATACAAGCGAAGATGCGGGTTCCAGGAACTAGTTGATCAGAAGAAGAAGAAGAAGAAGAAGAAGAAGAAGAATAAGAAGAAGAAGAAGAAGAAGAAGAAGAAGAAGAAGAAGAAGAAGAAGAAGAAGAAGCGATCATTGGAACAAGGGCTCTATTCGCCTGACGTTTCGGATTCTCACTTAAACCCATCATCATAGACAGTGGCAGAAAAGGGTGACTCGTGCACAGGAAGTTGCAGTATTTATAGGATGCAGTCACTATGCTACCGCATACCTATAGCAATTTACCGCGCTCCCCTTCATCAAGGATTGTTGCCCGCTGGTGCGCTAATTGCTTGATGGCCGGAATGCAAGTTGTTAATTGCTGACATCTCATCATCCGTGTTGAATGCTGGCGTGATGATTGCTCGGCCATCTGGCCCACCGGCTTGCGCTCTCCCCGAGTGGTCGATTGCTTTGGCCAGCCTATGCCTCAGCGCGCAATATGGAGTGGGGATGTGGTTGCACTTGTTGATAGACTGAGGTCCCGTGAACCATGACTCAAGCAATTCACGGCTCACGCGATTATCCCCTCCTGTGAGAATTTCGGCCTCATCGAACTTGAATGTGTGGCCGGGTCTCGTCGAATGGGCCGCGACCTGAGAGTTGGCGTCATTTCTCCGTACCGCTGCCACGTGCTCGGCGATTCGCGTCCGGAGCAGTCTTCCAGTTTCTCCGACGTAGCTGCTTTGTCCGCAACTGCACCAGATCCGGTAAACGACTCCATATGTTTCTTACCGTGGCAGTGGGGGATGTTGGTCTCATCACCTGACGCCTCATGTTGGCCTCCGGTCTGTGTGCAACTCCAACCCCAAGTGGTGCAAGAAGGCGACTAAAGGCCTCGGAGACGTTCTTGATGTACGGGATCGCTCGCCAGAATTTGGGGTCCGCGCGATTTTGCCGCTCGTCTCGTTTGCGCATGAACCGGTTGACGAAGTTGCGCGGGTTACCATTTTCTCTGAAAACCCGTCGAAGATATTGGGATTCGGCAACCTTGTCTTCGGTTCACTGCAGTGCGTCTCCACACGCCGATATAGCCTTCTTACGCAACTGCTTTTGTGGCTAATTGGGTGGTTACTGTTGAAGTTCAGTATTTGCGTCGTGTTCGTCGCTTTTCTGAACACTTTTGTCTTTAGGCCACCACAATCTTTGCGACAGACGAGGACATCAAGGAACGCCAGCTGGGTATTTTATTCCTTCTCCATCGTAAATTGTATGTCCGGGAAGACGCTGTTGGGACGTTCTTTGAACGTTAGCACCTGATCCTGTTCGATGACGACGAAGGTATCGTCCACATACCGAGCCCAGAAATTCGGTCTGTGGCGTTGGAAGCCCAGCGACTCTAACCGCTGTAGGACCGCCTCGGCGATGAATCCCGAAATCGGCGAGCCCATTGGTGTTCCCTTCACTTGCTCGTAGATTGTTCCGTCAAACGTGAAGTACGTCTTGAGACAGAACTTTAGGAGCTGAAGGAATTGGGCATGTCCGACTGGAAGACTGCTCCGGACGCGAATCGCCGAGCACGTGGCAGCGGTACGGAGAAATGACGCCAACTCTCAGGTGACGGCCCATTCGACGAGACCCGGCCACACATTCAAGTTCGATGAGGCCGAAATTCTCACAGGAGGGGATAATCGCGTGAGCCGTGAATTGCTTGAGTCATGGTTCACGGGACCTCAGTCTATCAACAAGTGCAACCACATCCCCACTCCATATTGCGCGCTGAGGCATAGGCTGGCCAAAGCAATCGACCACTCGGGGAGAGCGCAAGCCGGTGGGCCAGATGGCCGAGCAATCATCACGCCAGCATTCAACACGGATGATGAGATGTCAGCAATTAACAACTTGCATTCCGGCCATCAAGCAATTAGCGCACCAGCGGGCAACAATCCTTGATGAAGGGGAGCGCGGTAAATTGCTATAGGTATGCGGTAGCATAGTGACTGCATCCTATAAATACTGCAACTTCCTGTGCACGAGTCACCCTTTTCTGCCACTGTCTATGATGATGGGTTTAAGTGAGAATCCGAAACGTCAGGCGAATAGAGCCATTGTTCCAGTGATCGCTTCTTCTTTTTCTTCTTCTGATCATCGTATAGGAATTTCGATTACCGTGGCAGTCTTCGCTCTTCCTGTTGTTCAGCAGCTCTCGTATCTGTGACCTTATATGCGAGTCTGACTGGGCTGCCGGTAGTCTTGAGCAGGCCGCGAGTTGACAAAAATTTCTGGTCACTCTGCGAGACTATGTGTAAAAACAGCCTCTAAATGGAAAGTATCGTTTTAAGAGTGTTTTAAATACTAGACTGCTTGCCCCTCAACACTGGTGGACCCTAGAAGCGGTGGGCCTGCAATTTTTCGAAGGCGGGCCTCTCTTGATAGTTGACTAGCAAACACGAACATGCCCAAAATCGACGTTTTGTGGCCATTGTTTCAGCAAACCAGCCCAGATGTCATTCAGAGAAAAAAATTTGACCGCAAAAATTTCGTGCGTGTATATTCGGAGAATAATACCGTGCACGGTCAATTTAACAGAAGATTCGTCATCAACACATAGTCGAATTGTGATCCCACTCACTCGGTTGCAGAGGTTCGTTATTTTCACTAATGCAGAATGAACAGAAACCCCTCTGGTACAGCTGCCCCTGATGGATATCCTAGCTCTTATTTTATAATAACTCTATATATTTTGGTATCACCTAATTAAGGCCATTTCGGTAAAAGCCGAACTTTCAGATGCAAGATGAGGGTCAACAAAACTGACTTATCGTTACGCAGGAAGAAGTAATTGATTTTTACGTAAAAGTCCAGCAATGGGCCTAAAAAACACAAATCAAGATGACAAGACAAAGCATTTCGCGAAAGGTTGCGACACGTAGTCCGTTGAAGACTAATAAGACGATTATTGTAAACACACGTTCATCTCCAGGAACTTTTTTGGCCCATTGAGTGATCATTTGTTCCGTGGTACCGGGCACAAGCAAAGCCAGCAGTTCATGGACGGCAATTCAACAGAATTTTCCATTTGCCGCTCGACTAAAGTTTACTAACATAAACGTTCCTTGAATATTTCGTCAGAAGTCTGTGATCTCATCAGTTCGGCCCAAAGTAGACTGATTGTCATCCGTTTTCTCGACTGCAATACGTTTGAAATGTTTTCCAAGTATGGTCAAAATAACGTAACCCCAACACAAGTGCTCCTCACTGTTATATTACAGTCATTGAGGCATTTTGAAATACCCCCTAGCTCGTGGATACTGAAAGGCGGTCAAGTTCATCCAACAGCAGGACGCGCTTAATCTCCATTTAATGCCATAACAATTGCCAGATACAAATGCCAGTTCAACTATTGCAAACAGCGACATGCACAACGTATACCACAGAGTAGGCGCGACGGTAAATTGTGCGTGAATAAGATTCTGGGAAGAATTTTTTTCAGGCTCGATGGAAAAGTTCATATCAATATTGAAATTCACTGAAAGATATATTTCCAACATAAGTGGTTTATACAAGGTTTCACACGTCGTACTGATTCTGACAAAGTTAGGCCGCTTGCGTGCGCCAGGAATTACAGTAAGTGGGCCAATTCATGAAATTTCAACAGAAATTCCGAAATCCGTTTCCGTTTCGAAAAGATTAATTAAATAGGGTTGTGAAACCAATCGTCGTGCAGCATAGTTATATAATAATTCAGTTGCCCCAGGACGTCGGCTTTCGAAAAAACTTCTTTCCGGCTGCATCCAAAAACCAGACTCCGTAAAAAATGACTACTTATGTAGCATGCGTTTTTCACTGATTTTCGATGCCCTTAAAGATTCAGTTATATGTCACGGAAAAAAATGCATAAAATATTCATTCTTTTGCTCATTCGGTAGAAATTACGTCTTTCAATTTTATACTAAAAGGAAAGTTTAAATTTGGTTTTATGGAACTTTTCCAATTCCTGAATAATTTTGAACCCAACCTGTCGTTTCACTTGCATTCAGGGTTCCCAAACTACAAGCCGAATAATTTCCGCGTATGGAAAACCGTACATTTCTCCACCTTATTAAGAGGAGACCATATGGGGTTCATAAAATGAAGCAGTGGATTTGAGTCGCATTTTTATTTTCACAAGCCACATTGGTAAATGCGGAGACATGACGTTTTATGAAGGGCCATTTCACGGTATTAAAAAACCTCACAATTCGAAACTTTTTAAAAACTGAATTGAACTCTTCCTTCGAGTGTAAAATTGTAGAAAACTTGATCTTCTACTGGATGAGCAAAAGAATGAATATTTTTACGCATGTTTTCCATGAAATATAATTGAATCTCTAAGGGCATCGAAAATCAATGAAAAAATGCATGCTACTTAAGTAGCCATTTTTTACAGAGCGTGGTTTTTGTATGCAGCCGGAGGGAAGTTCATTCGAAAGCCGACATCCGAGCGTAACTGAATAATTATAGAATTATGCTGCGCAATGATTGGTTTTACAATCCCACTTAATTAATCTTTTCGAAACAAAAAAGGCATTTCGGAATTTCTGTTGAGATAACCTGAGTTAGTCCACCTACTGTATGCATGGTTTGTAACGGAGAACTGGCGTGTGTCCGGGTGTTGTTGTGCAACACGTGGGCCTTAAGGACTGTGTGCGTATGCTATGCCAAAACTTGGCCCTCTCAGTCTGGTGTGCGCTGGCATTTCTCTGGCATATGGTACTCTACCGTTGGATTTGCTGGCGCTCTGCGGTACATGACTGCTCAGTGACTTGCGTCATCCTCTCCTCTTACTGACCCATTTTTATTGTTGTTCAAAATGCTGGTCAAGTGATTTTTGTAGACCAGGGGCTGCGGTGGTACGCCAGGTTGCGGATCCGGCCGTGTCAGCCATCTGCGCCCTCTCCCACCTCCGGCCTGCTTGATTATGTCTTGACACCGAGCCAAGGTGGGGGAGGAGGAGGAGGAGGAGGAGGAGGAGGAGGAGGAGAAGGAGGAGGAGGAGAAGGAGGAGGAGGAAGAGGAGGAGGAGAGAGAGTGGTGGATGCTGCGTAACTCTACGCTCACTGACAGAAACGAACAGGCGAGTTACAGGTAGCAGTTCAGAAGACAAAGATGCGATCACTGGAACAAGAAATTTATTGGCCTTACGTTTCGGATCCTCACACTTCCGTACGTGAAGAACGTCTCAAAAGCCATCAGTCGTCTTCTCACAGCACTTGGAGTTGGGGTTGGACACAGGCTGCAAGCAACCATTTGACGGCAAGTCATGAGGCCGAAGGACCCACTGCCACGGCAGGAAACGTCTGGAGTCGTTTACTGGATCTGGTGCTGTTGCGGACGAAGCAACTACGTCGCAGAAACTAAGAGATTACTCCGTACGCCAATTGCCGACCACGCAGCAGCAGCAGCAGTGAGGCGGGGAGACGCTAGCTCTCGGTTGGTGGCTCATTCGACGGGACCCGGCCATATTTTCAAGTTTAAAGAGGTCGAAATCCTCGACAATCGCGTGAGCCGCGAACTGCTCGAATCGTGGTTCTCAGTCCAGCAATCCATCAACAAGCGCAATGACCTCCCGTTACCATATTCCGTGCTGAGATTTTCCCTGGGCAGGGGAATTAGTCACGTGGGGAGGGCGCGGGCCAGCAATTATCCCAGTGACAGTGAACCAATTTGCCGGGCAATCGTCACACCAGCATCAAACACGGATGGCGAAATCACGGCGATTAACGACTCGGACGCGGACTGACAAGCCACCACCGCATCAATTAGGACCCCAGTGTTGATTACGAGGGCTGTTAATTTCAGTGCGCATATGGTCCTACGGCAGCCGCTTTCTATAAATACTGCACTCCTTGTGCCACCATTACCCTTATCTGCGACTGTCTCTGATGATGGGTTCGAATGAGAATTCGAAACGTCAGGCCAATAAATTTCTTGTTCCAGTGGTTGCATCTTCGTCTTCTGATCTACCCTCACTATAAACTAACCCACGCGCAAGTCATCGTACCTCCTCTCATTTTGCTATGAGACACACGGTGGACATCGTCGGCCACGACAGTTGAACCGTCATGTGGTAGGTAGGACGCGTTGTGGTGATTTTGGTGTTCCAGTGAGTATTTTCGTGGATGCGCACATGGCCGTGTAGACGTATGCGATGACCTAACATCCTGAGACGGCGTGCTCAGGTGAGGCGGAAGTGTATATCTAGGGTCTGGCATTAGTTCGCCTGTCCCAGTGAGATGGATTTACGAATGAGCGACCAGGTCAATGTTTGGTATGGGGTTGCGACCGCAATGGGGTCAAGTTGGGACTGAGTTTGCATGGCAACTGTTGACTACGGTCGTGCTGTTAATGAGAGTGGAAGAATGAGAGAAAATGTGGATGGGGTTACTTCCGCGACGCTGCTAGTGATGGCGACGGTCTCTGCCGCAATTGATTATCGGGGCGTGTTGTCATGACAGAGTAAGCGTTTGATTGTCTAATGGGGACTAATAAGCCACTAGTGGTTCCTCCGGTCACAAATGACTTCGTATGGAACAGCTAGCCGACACTGTTCAATGTTAATCAAATGCTGACAAAGACTCCCTACTGGGATTCCGTGCAAATCGTCCTTGCCCGCATGCCGTCGCACATAATGGCTGCACATCGATCAAGTCATTCTCACATAATCCGAATGAACAATTCTGATGGCTTCGAGTTATTCCGATGGGCCAGTATTATAAATCACTAGAAAATGTTCACTGCAGACTTTGCTTCACATATTGCCAGAATAGAACGTGAAGTGAAACTGCATGCTGGGAGTTCCGACCGATCAAAAAGCGATCGAAATAACGCCAACAGCAAAACATACTTTCATTAACGTATGAATTTCATCGTAGCTCAGATAGTGACGATTGTTTTATTTTATAAGGTTTAATATCATTCCTAATGGACGTGTGACGTCGAGATTAATAAAAAATATCAGAAGCAGAACTGTATCAGTGAAACTCCAAAATTCCAAGAGAAACTCTTTGGGCTACCCATAGCCAGGATGTAAACAAATAAACAAAAAACCTACTTCGAAGGTTGTTAATATTATGGTTAAAAACATGGTCTCGGTTTCATGCCGATTAGAAGTTCACTTGCGCAACTGGCATCTGTAGTATCAACTTTATGTTTCAAGTGGGTATATTGGCTAAAGGTTTGCTTTTCAACTTGATGGGAATATGCACTTTTTGTGTACAATTTGTTAGGAAAGTCGACAAGAAGGACTGAACTAATACAAAATATATTAGATTGCCTAGCATTAGTGATTCGTAGTGCATCTAATTTGCCGTCGTAAGAGATGGAGAGAGAGAGAGAGAGGGAATTCATGTGCGCACGGAGACCTGACGAAGTTTGACTGTTAGACAAGGGTCAAGAAACACTTCAAACTCCGTGCCAAATCAGCCACCAGACGTTAAAACCTTTGGCAGGAGGACTGTCTCGTTGCGTCGGGAAAACCGGAGTCAGACATAAAAACACACGATGAGAGAATATATCATGGGGGTGGAGGTTAGCTGTTTAGCAGACGACGTGGTTTTCAAGACCCCATTTTGGCGTAAAGGGGTTAACAAAAAACTGAATTGAAGCATATTGTAGAAGCCTGGGTAGTCGGTGTGCCTTGACACCGCAGCGGACGCGAACGACGATGTCCACCTAGTGACCAGAGCAGGGTGGGCGCAAGGACGGTGACTTGCGCAGCATCTGCCACACTCTCACTCCCCTCACCCACCTGGGCCCGGTGTCAATGAAGAAGACCAGAGGTGGGTTCGGGCGCAGTGAGTGACAAAGTTAAACAGCTCGCTTAGGCGTGCTACACACGTTGCGCCTGCACACGATGAACCAGGTTTTCACAGAAGCAGCAAATGGGCGGTTCGATTATCACCTGAGTGGGAGTTTCATAGAGGCCATAGTGAGCAGGAACCATTGCAGCCCGATTCTACGTTCTGCTTAGAGGAACGGGTTATCTCGTCATTCGACGGTCTTCCGAGACACGATGTTTAGCACCCAATGTTTTGCGTCCGATTTTTTGTGGTAGTGACTGTGCACTGTCTGCAATGCGGACGGGTCGCCCGTCTGGGACCGAGTGTCCGGCGCGGCGTGAGCCTGCGCCCGGACGTGCCATCATCATCATCACCACCACCACCACCACCATCCCCAGTGTGACATTTACGGTGGGTGATCTAACTCACGAAATGTATCGAAATTTACGGATGACTGCTAATCGCTCGCAAACCGACAGCAATCCGTTGACCCAATATATATGTTAATAAAGCTCAACTTTAAGAGAATTTAAAGCATATAATAAATAATAAAGGCGATGTTGCGTTGTATAGAAATGTTATTTTTTTATAAAATTGTAAAATACCACAATCGTTAAAATGGACGCAATTTAATAAACTTCATTTTTTAATTTTCGAAACGTCTACCCATGGAAAAACCTGAGTGAATATGAAAGCACAAATAGAATAACAGTTAAAAATAATGTTTTAGTGAAGTTTACATTTAAATATCCTTTAAGAATTAGAGTAATTCCAGGTATGGCGCCTTGCCAACAGCCTACATTCTGAGTATAGA